AAGAAAAAATAAAATAAAACATGAAAACATAGTTATAGCGCCACAATATACAGGCTAAAGCAGGGTGCTTCAACTACCAACTGGGGGGTGCATAGAGGCCTTATGTTAGGTTGTAATTAGGAAGCATTAGTGCAATAAACACCACATGACAGTTTGGTGGAACAATATAAATTCGAGCTTCCACAAAGGTAGAGGATAAAGAAATGGGAGACACCATCTCTCATTGGGAGACGTGGTTAGCAGGTAAGATCTCTAGAGGATATAATAAAAGTGGTGGACTCGAGACACCCTTACAAAGACCTTAGAGAGATGGTCACACTGATGGCTCTGTAAAAATTTCCGAGTGCTCCAACCACGGGGTCTAGATTTTGTCAAACTTAGTAAGACTCTACATTGTAGGAAAACCTTGTACAGGGGAGATTTCCATTGCTGCAGGGAAGGGGGATTGGATTTCCAGTGCAAAACAATAAGTTTCCTAGCATAATATAACAACATACCCAAAAGTACTCTCCTGACCTTATGGGTGACCAAGGGCTCCACCAGAGCTAGCTAGCAGGCCCTCAACTCGTGAGGCACCAAAATGGCCATCATCATAGAGATAAATTGGAGGACTTGTGTCCAGAAGTCACCAATTGTGGGAAAACTCAAAAGATGTGAATGAAGTCTGCTTGTGGGCTAGAACAGCACCAGCAACCCGAGGAGCCAGCAGTCCTTAATTTCCTCACTACGTATGTACATATGGCCTGGTACAATACCGAGTGGGCTTTAGGTATGGAATCAGTGTGGATTCCAGCAAAAAAAATACCAGTTCGGTAGTGAGTATTTAGCTTGTAGGACTGAGAATAGAGCAGGACAATTAACGACTATATCCTCTAGCTTCTTAATGCTCCTGATATGCCTATATGACCAGCTCTGGAACCCTGAAGAGTTGAGAACAAGTCAGATTATTCCACAATGGGCAATGTGGAGAACAAACTTCCCAGACAGAAAATTCCCAGACAGCAAGACCCCTGTCCTATGCCATGCCCAATTTGTAGCTCGCATGTTGCAAGTGAGAAGATAAGGAGCCCGTGAACCTATTTATGGAAGGGATTGCAGAGCCTCATAAGACCCCAGAACTGCAGCCTCAACCACCACTGAAGCTTTCCCTTTATCAAGCCAATTATGGGCATGAACCAGCTGTGCAGACAAGAAATACTGAAAGAAATTGCGTCCAATTGTTTAAAAAACTGAGTGGGATCCAAACTGGAGCATTCCGTAGGATATACAAAGTAACAGGAAACAATTTCATTTTAAGCAAATTATCTGCCAAATGAGCATCAGGGGTAATGACTTCCAAAGTTCAAATTTGGATTTTGCCAACCCAAGAAAGGGGTGAAATTGAGGATAATGAAATCTGCAAGGTCATTGGTCACCAGTCAGCTGCTGACTTTTAATAAAAGGACACTTACTTGTCTAGCCTCCCTAGCGGTATGATTATTTCTGATTTTTGGTGCTGAAAGCGGTACCATTATTTTGCATGGAAATATGTAGTTTTTTATTGTAGGCTGTAATTTTTAGGAATAACTCACTGAAATCTGTCCGAACAAGAGTCTAGTAAACATCCCGGATATGATAAAACTTGAAACACGAAATCATAAATTATAATTTAATAAAATATCATAAAAAAAAAATAATATAATAATAATATATTTAATTCAATAATATAATCAAACCAAAAACACTGAAATTTGAAATACAGAGGCAAATTCGCACATCGCTGAGCAAAGTTGCAAAATAGTTTTCAGTGTCTGATGACGAATTTCCCCCACGAATCATTATCACTCAATTCTGCAAGTGGTTCTGATTTACTATCGCTGTTCTCTAGCCGGTCTACAACCGCTTTTGACATAAAGGGACGCTTTTTGGACGCCATGGACTTTTCTAAGTTTCCAGTCAGAAAGAACAGTCAAAATGCAGGCAGGGCGCAGGACAAAGCACTCAGGACAAAATGTATGTGAAATGCATTGAAACAGCAATGTTTTACTATATAATAATAATTTTAAAAAAATTTCAAATTTGCCGCCGGTTCCGGCGCCCGTACGTCCCGACGTCACAGGGACCGGAACACGGAAGCCGGATGCCGGCATCGGCCGGAGGAGATGGCCAGGGACACTGCAGGGGACACATCGCGGGAGTGAAGGACAAGGTAAGTGCTGCAGGGACTCCCTGAGCAACGCCGCATGGTAAGCCCGAGTGTAGCTCGGGGTTACCGCTCTTGGTACTGAAATTTTACCCCGAGCTACACTCGGGAATACCGCCAAGGAGGCTAGGGATCCAGCATTGTCCTCACCTGGGTTGGTTCTTCGTCAGTCTTTGGGTCCCCTGCGCTGGCATGTTTACTATGGGAAGCCAGCTGTCACTCCTTGCGGCATCAGAGCCTGATTCCCACTACGCATGTGCAAGTCGCGCTCTGCTGTATGAATAGACCCATGATGTGCCCTAGAAGATTTCAGACAGTAGGGGGGAGAGAAATTCCACTCGGTTTGCCTAGGCAGTTGGAGTGGAAGTGGGAGCGAATACCTGTGAAAACTAGGTACCTGCTCCCCCCCCCCCCAAAAAAAAAAACCCTCCAAAAGTGGGAGGGAAGGGTAAATAGGTGTTAAAACTGAAATTTTTCCTTTTAGGGTGGACATGTGTAAGGCTTCATGTACACCAGCAGCTCCTAAACTCGAGTTTAGGAGCTTTTGGCATTTTTTTGCACAGGCAGGAGGGGCGTGACACAGCTTGTGACTGGCAGAAATCTGCTCAAACCATGTTACTGCCAAAAAATAATAAAGATTTAATTTCAAATATTTATTTGTATGATAATTTAAAACAGTTTATTGATATTCATTTTTCATAAATTTTTAATATTAACTTTATCACAAAGGTTGTTTTTTTTCCTATCTTGAAGTTTAACATGGGACCAGCCGCAGAGGACTAGAAGCTCCTCCTGCTTATGTTTCCCTGCAGACAGGCTGGGGAAGAGCTGGATCATGTGACAGCTGTATCTTGATTAGGAAAAAGGTACTTAGATATTTTTTTATTAATAAAATAATTATAGTGCCATTATCCACATACAGAAAAAGAAGGGATAATGTAAATTAAGAAGTGTGTGTTTAGTATCAATTTAAGTCATTGGCCTGGCCTGAAAGACCTTTTGCAACCCACCCTAGCCCCCACCTCCATAAGTCCGCAGCTGGAGCTCCTGAGTGCAGGTCTACTTCTCCCTGGCCTCCAGCCCTGTCCAGGGTTTCCACATGCTGGTTACATCTGTACTGCTGTGGGGTGGCTGGCTTCCATGCCCCATCTGCACTAGGGCTCCTTCCCACCTGGCATATAACTGGGTCCTGACTAACTCTAGGTTCACACCTACAGTTGTGTTCAAAATAATAGCAGTGTGTTGAAAAAAGTGAATAAAGCTCAAAATCCTTCTAATAGCTTTTATTTCCATCCACACAAATGCATTGGGAACACGACACATTCTATTCCAAATCAAAACTGGAAGAAAAATATATCACATTTGTGTTGTTCCTCTAAAAAAATTGAAGAAAAGTGAATGTTAGACGGTTCAAAAAAATAGCTGTGTTTGTATTCTTCTTTACAAACTCAAACATCCACTATATAAACTGAAAAATGTTTGAAGATTTTGCTTTCCTTTGAATTACTTAATGAATATTTGGTTGTAGTCGCACTGTTTCTGAGAACTGCTGTACATCTGTGTTGCATGGAGTCACCCAACTTCTGGCCCCTGTGAACAGGTATTCCAGCCCAGGATGATTGGACTACATTCCACAGTTCTTCTCTATTTCTTGGTTTTGCCTCAGAAACTGCATTTTTGATGTCACCCCACAAGTTTTCTATTGGATTAAGATCCGGGGATTGGGCTGGCCACTCCATAACGTCCATCTTGTTGGTCTGGAACCAAGATGTTGCACGTTTACTGGTGTGTTTGGGGTCGTTGTCTTGTTGGAACACCTATTTCAAGGGCATTTCCTCTTCAGCATAAGGCAGCATGACCTCTTCAAGTATTCTGATGTATTCAAACTGATCCATGATCCCTGGTATGCGATAAATAGGCCCAACACCGTAGTATGAGAAACATCCCCATATCATGATGCTTGCACCACCATGCTTCACTGTCTTCACAGTGTACTGTGGCTTGGATTCAGTGTTTGGGGGTCGTCTGACAAACTGTCTCCGCCCACTAGACCCAAAAAGAACAATCTTACTTTCATCAGTCCACAAAATGTTGCGCCATTTCTCTTTAGGCCAGTCAATGTGCTCTTTGGCAAATTGTAACCTCTTTAGCACGTCTTTTTTTCAACAGTGGGACTTTGCGGGGACTTCTTGCAGATAGCTTGGCTTCACATAGGCGTCTTCTAATTGTAACAGTCCTCACAGGGAACGTCACACCTTCTTTCATCTTCCTGGAGCTGATTGTTGGCTGAGTCCTTGCCATTTTGGCTATTCTTCTATCCATTTGAATGGTAGTTTTTCACTTTCTTCCACGTCTTTCAGGTTTTGGTTGCCATTTTAAAGCATTAGCGATCATTTTAGCTGCGCAGCCGATCATTTTCTGCACTTCTTTATATGTTTTCCCCTCTCCAATCAACTTTTTAATCAAGGTCCGCTGTTCTTCTGAACAATGTCTGGAACGACCCATTTTCCTCAGAATTTCAGAGAGAAATGCACTGTAACCAGCATGTACAACATTTGCTGCCTTCCTTCCTTAACTAGTTGCCGACCGCAGATAGCCGAATGACGGCTGCACTGCGGCCGGCCAGTTCTGAGTGGATGTCATATGACGTCCTCCCAGAACGCGCTCTCCTGCGCTCCCCAGGGGGCGCGCACCCGGCGATCTCCGTGATCGCTGTGTCCTACGGACACAGCTGATCACATGATGTGGTAAAAGGCCAATCACAGCGGCCTTTTACCACGTGATCAGCGGTGTCCAATGACACGCTGATCACAGGGAAATGCAAGTGCCGGTTCTCGGCTGCACTTTCCTCATGCTGTCAGATCGTGAGGAAAGTACTGCCGAGAACCGGCAGTTGTCAGAGCGGGGATCGGCACCGATCATCAGGGCACTGATGATCAGTGCCCTGATGATCGGTGCCCAGCAGTGCCACCCGCAAGTTCCGCCCACCTGTGCCCAGCAGTGCACCCACTAGCTCCGCCCACCTGTGCCCAACAGATCACCCACCTGTGCCCAGCAGAGCACCCACATGTGCCACTCTGCAGTGCCACCTACCTGTGCCCAGCAGTGCCACCTACCTGTGCCCAGCAGTGCCACCCACCTGTGCCCACGAGTGCCACCCACCTGTGCCCACCCACCAGTGCCACCCACCAGTGCAGCCCAGTAGTGCTGCCAGTCAGTGCCACCAGTCAGTGCCCAGGGGTTGTGCCAGTCAGTGCCGCCAGTCAGTGCCCAGCAGTGATGCCAGTCAGTGCCGTCTATCAGTACCCATCATCAGTGTCGCCTATCAGTGCCGCCTATCAGTGCTGCATATTAGTGCCGCCTATCCGTGACACCTCATTAGTGCTGTCTATCAGTGCCGCCTATCCGTGCCACCTCATTAGTACTGCCTATCAGTGCCCTTTAGTGCTGCCTATCAGTGTCCATCAGTGCCGCCTATCAGTGCCCATCAGTGCTGCCTCATCAACGCACATCAGTGAAGGAGAAAAAATACCTGTTTGAAAAATTTTATAATAGAAACAAAGAAACTTTTTTTTTTTTTTTTTCAAATTTTTTGCACTTTTTTTATTTATAGCGCAAGAAGTAAAGCGCCCAGTGGCAATTAAATACCACCAAAAGAAAGCTCTATTTGTGAGAAAAAAAATGATCAAAATTTCATATGGGTACAATGTTGCATGACCGCGCAATTGTCAATCAAAGTGCGGCAGCGCTGAAAGCTGAAAATTGGCCTGGTAAATAAGGGGGTATAAGTGCCTGGTAGGCAAGTGGTTAAATAAGGGCAATAATTGCCACCTGTTTTTCAAAGAATGAATGACCTCACTAATAGAACTCCACACTGCTATTATTTTGAACATGCCCCTTTCAATTAGTGATTCAATTACACAGAATCAGCAGCATGCATGTCATGACTGTTGGGTCTGTTGGATTTTTATTACTCTACTACACCTGCTAGTAAATTATTTGCCATGTAGAAATATCATTTCTACCAAAAACAGTGATTGATCCGGTTAGTGATGTCTGACTGCTATTATTTTGAACACAACTGTATGTGTATTCCGCAGCGTTTTGCAGAAACGCAATACAGTCCATATAACATGATTTCCTATGGGACAGGTTCACATCTCTGCGGTGACACCCACTGTGTTTTTTGGAACGCAAAAACTTGCGTGTTTGGTTCTATAGACTGCAATGGAAACGCTGCAGAAAAGCATGTAGTGCAGTTTTGCTGTTTTTTGCATTTAAATCTGCCTGGCAACAAGAAAAAAAAACCAAATGCAAAACGCGTCAAAAACACGTGCAACAAACACAAAACTCAACGCAAAACGCACTGCAGAAACGGGTCAAACAAACTGCATAGGTGTGAGTCTGGCCTAACTCATGACATCAGTGCAGGAGGGCTGTACCTTAAAGGGGCCTAGCACCTGATGAAACAATGCCACCTAGTGGCAGACTGGCTAACTGCACCTGCCTACAGATGTGTGTTGGTTCTTGTGGAAAATAAGGACCTGGTTTGGTGTCACTTTAAGAAAGTTCTCCATTCAGCTTCCTCCCCTCCAATGTCTGTATCATATAGATGTCACCTGGAAACGCTCACTGAGCCACACATATGGTTAAGCAGGGATCTCTTCCTTTTTTGCCCCCGGAGAGCTCCTTGTGGTGACGGCTCATCTTGTACCTCCTGTACTTGTGTAATTAAAATGTATCAGATGTGACACCGAGGCTGATGAAGTGTTAGCCTGGCTGACGATAATTGCTGGAAATGACTCTTTCCAGCAGCATCTTGTATGTTCAGCTCATCAAGTCTGGAAATCTGAGCTTCAAGCACCCAGCTGTACCAGCAGGGCCACATTCAGTATCCCACCTTGCTGGTACAGAGGAAGGAAAATCCACAGCAGTAAAATCAGTCTGTATATGCAGTAAAGCGTGCTTGTTATACTCGCTGTGGAACCTAAGGGGTTAATCCTATGCATTGTGTAAAAAGTGTAAAAAGACTGTTTGACCTTTTCTTCTCTGATCCTCCCCTTCTTCCAGTGCCCCCTCCCCCTCCTTATCTCCTGATAACACATATCATATGGAGTCACTCTACACATGCTCAGTTTGGTGTGTATTGCTAGAGAGGTTATTTTTTGGGAGAGTGCTTACAGATTTGGGAGAGTGCATACAGATCAGCAAAGGACCAATCAGCACTGTCCAGACAGAGGACAGGGGTTCTGCATCCTCCTAGAGCAGAAACTCCTCCTACAAGCTGTAACCAGTGCTCTGCATTTTTTTTTAAATATTATTATTATTAATAAATATTATTATTATATAATTATTATTATATATTGTTTAATATATTCTTCAGATTTTTTTAACATAAAAAAAAGTCATTTTAACATATATTTCAAATATACTGTGTGTCTTTAAAAATACAAATCTACATTTTTGGAATGCATTTAAAAATATATGTTAAAATTACTTTATATATATATATATATATATATATATAAAATTAATAATAATAAATAAATATATATATATATACATATACACTACACTGCATATATATATATATACACTGCATGTTGAAATGCATTTTTTATATATTACAAAATATATTACAAAATATATTTAAAAATATATATATTTTTAAATATATTCTTCAGATTTCATATATTTGTAAATGCATTCCAAAAATGTAGATTTATATTTTTAAAGACATACAGTATATTTGAAACTTATTTTTTAAAATATTCTTCATATTTTTTGTAATAAAAACGCATTTCAACATACAGTGTATGTGTGTGTGTGTGTGTGTGTGTGTGTATATATATATATATATATATATATATATATATATATATATATATATATATTTTTTTTTTTATATTCATTTCAAATATATTTTTCTTCCATATGGGGTGCCCGGCCCGCCATTAGCGGCTACGGATGTCAATCACCGGGTCCCAGCTGGAGATTCCCTACTGCCCCCCCAGCGATCGCCATGTAAAACTGGCAGGGGAGAGACCTACTGTATGTGAAACAACACAGGTCTCTCTCCTACCAACAAGGACATGCTACTTTGTATTTCTCTGTACAGCAGCATGTCTCCCTAGTAAAACACACACAGCACACAGTTAACCCTTTGATTGCCCCAGATGTTAACCCCTTCCTGCCCAGTGTCATTAGTACAGTGTCAGTGCTTTTTATTAGCACTGATCAATGTATTGGTGTCACTGGGGATGTCAGTAGCAGTTAGTCAGTTTTCCCCTCAGTGTCAGAATGCCCGTCGCAGTCCTGCTATAAGTCGCTGATCACCGCCACTACCAGTATGAAAAAAAATAAAAATAAAAATCCCAGTATCTATACCGCCATTTGTAAACTCTATAACTTTCACGTAAACCAATTAATTTATACGTATTGGGAATTTTTTATGGCAAAGACATGGAGCAGAATATATTTTGGTCTAAATTGATGATGAAATTTGATTTTTAAATTTTTTTTTCTGGGTATGTTTTATAGCAAAAAGTAAAAAATGTGTGTTTTTTTTCAAAATTGACGGTTTTTTTTTTTTGTTTATAGCACAAAAATGAAAACCGAAGAGGTGATCAAATACCACTGAAAGAAAGCTCTATTTGTGGGACGTAAAAAAAGGACGTAAATTTCATTTGAGTGCAGCGTTGCATGACCGCGCAATTGTCAGTCAAAGTAGCGAAGTGCCGTAATGCACAAAATGGCCTGGTCAGGAAGGGGGGAAATCCTCTGGAGGGCAAGTATAACCATACATAGATGTACTCTGTGAGCGCACTCATCTGCACAACGGCGATATTCCACAGACCGCATTTTGTGTCCCCCCCCTCCTCTCCTCCTCCTCGGCTCACCTCAATTAATGGCTAAACAGACAATGATTCATAATTGAGAGTTGAAGTAAAGTGCAGTGAATCAGACAGATTCATTTACTTTCATTAAATTCCATTTTGTGTTCTGCATTCCGGCTGATATAATGACAGATCTGATCAGAAACAGATGCGGATGATAAATCCGGTACGTGCTTCGGCTCCTTTTTTTTTTTTTTTTTTTTTTTTTTTTTAACAGAAACTTTAGTTCATTTTTGAAAGATGGCTCAATTGTTTCAATGAAGATCATCATTAAAGTACAACTAAAAAAAGTCAAATTTTTTTTTTTTTATTTCAGGTCCAATAAGGGAGGGTTATAACCCCTGTGAGGTTTTTTCTTGCCATTTGTGTCCCCGTTGGGGACATTTCCTTTCACTTCCTCTCTCATAGCCAAAACAGGAAGTGAGAGGAAGTGTCTCCAAAGTGAGGGAGAGTCCTGGAACTAGCACCCATATTGGAAGATTTCCCCTTTATTCCTGTTCTGGTGACAACCCAAAATGTGGAATCTTTCTGTGATAATGGTACACAGCGCAAATGGGGGGAGGGGGGAATCTTCCTGTCAGGGTCACAGACAGAAATACAAACAGACACATGTCCGTTTGCACCCGCCGCTCCATAGAGGAGAACGGAGGTTCCGATTGGGCCCACCCGAAAAACGAGAAGGTGGACCCGATTGGAACATCCGCGTGAAAGAGCCCTTTGTGGAACCATCCACCTGACAGTCGGCTTGTCAGATTTACCCGCACTCCTGGCCAGGGGCGGACTGACAACTCACGGGGCCCCCGGGCAATAGGGGATCATGGGGCCCCTGTGTCCTTGCCCAAACTCAAAAAAGCCTATGAAAAAGGTACCAGGGAGATCTCATGGGGCCCCCTACTGACCCCGGGCCCTCAGGCAGTGCCCGAGTTTCCAAATGGTCAGTCCAGTCCACCCTGCTCCTGGCGGTATCAGGGTGGATAGGAGTACTGAGAAAGGGCGCTGTGATGTTTCAGGAAAAATGAGGGAGATTTCCAACGCTGGAGCACTCAGGATCTGGTGTAGCTGTGCATGGGAGCCAATCAGCTTCTAGCTTCAGCTTGTTCAATTAAGCCTTGATAATAAAAACCTGGAAGCTGATTGGTTTCTATGCAGAGGTGCACCAGATTTTGCACTCTGCAGTTTTAGTAAATAAGCTCCTATGTACGGCACCCTACTGGCCCCTCCCACCAGCCATGATCTGCCTGTATTGCATAGACAAACACAAAGACCCAGGGATGATGTTGCAGGGTCTAAAATAAGG